ATATTTTGTTATCAGTTTAGCTTATAATGTATTGTTATAAACATATTTTCATGTGACAAGGTTCTAATTCCCACAAAGATAGCGGAAAACGATAACTTCAGTTATCACTATTAACGGCATGGTATTTATTGGTGACGACAGCAATCTAGTTTATTATCTCTTATCACTCGTCTGTAATCTCTTACAATTTATCTCTTAATATTTTTTGTATATTGTTAAACGAAAATGGCGCTATGGTATTTCTTGTATCCATTCCAATAACATATGCACGTTAAAAATATCGTCAGTCATAATATGTATGTATTATTAAAAATATATGTATATTTAAAAAAAAAGATGGTAGCTCGATACACGAATGAAGATTATGCGGTCGCTTGCGGGTATTCGCACAAAAGAAATCATTTACTCGACATTAATAATATAATATATTATTATAATGATGAACGTCGGTGAGGTTTCAAGGAGCGTTTGATGTTGCCTCGCCATTATCGTGCACGTACCATGTCGGTAATTACCGAAATAAATATAATAATATTATAATATACATTTTGAGGCTTAGCCGAAAAACGTACACCACCGCAAAATGTATTTACTTAAATATTCGGCGAACGTTGTGAAGCACGACACAGCAGCAGCTGTCATTTAGAGCAGCCGCCAAAAAATAATTTAATAAGTCTTTATAAAAGAAAATAAACAAAGAGAAACTCTTTTCAAATAATATTATGAAATATCGAATTAAAATTTAAAAAAAAACCCGAAAATGTTTGTTTGAGAACGCAAAAAAAGCCATTCCCGGTATTATAAAAATATAAAATTATTAATATACATAGGTATAATATATATTATTTTTCATAGGTAAAAAAAAAACCCATCACGGCCTTTGTTCTGTTTTTTTAACTTTCCGCTTTCGATTTTTTTTCCAGTTAGTTTCGCAGAATACACGTGATGTTGTTGTGATGAAAACTTATATATTTTGTTATTGACTTTAAAATCAAAATAAACTACCCGCGATGCGGTAATAAAAAAAACAACGTTATATTGGTTTTATCATCAACGAAATTGATATTTTCTACATAGTAATTTAGTTATATTTTTCGGTTGTTCAAAATGCATTTCTTGTTTTAGAAAAAGTAATCGCATACAATACAACTATTTAAAAAAGTAGATTTAACGTTTCATACTATATTATTGATATCTGTTAACAAAACTCAATTAAGTAATTGTAGAAAACTGTTATTTAGATTGGCCAGGCTGTGGAGGAGGTTATTTGTTTGTATTAAAATAAATCAAAAATACTGTTGAGATTAATTAAAAACAAACGAAGATCAATTTATTATAAGTCTGCGTGGAACTAATCTTGGGCATGGCCTTTTGCAGCATTTGTTTTCAAGGATTCACTGCAGGACAAACAACAACAACCTAAAATACCTTTGTACACGTTGTAAGAACTGAATATTTCAAATCAACAAAAGTCAACGTTTTCGCGATAGTTTATCCGTAAAGATGTATTTTTCAGAAAAATAACACTTTAAGGATTTTGCTAATCATATACTTTCCGTCGAATGCTATTTGGACGGAGTTGCGACCCTCGGCTGTTATTATAAGCCCTCGAGGTTTATTGTAAGTATCAAATAAAAACACCATATTTGTAACGGATCGGTCCATTCCATTCACACCGAAATCCCATCTTGAATAACCCGTTTACTACGGCTGAACCTGGCTATTAGATCCATTGATCTAATAGCCCCATTGATGCTTTCATAAAATCGTTTGTGAACGCAAGAAACGATAATTATTTAATCTTTGGTTGCTCACAGTGATTGAATAACTTTCAGATATTTAATGATATATTCCATGTTATTTTTTTTTTACACTCTGCCCGGGGTTTTCTTCCCTTTGAAATGTTAACTAAATTGAATGTTACCTGTTAGTTTGAATGTTACCGGGTTTAGTCATTTTTTGAATTACACAAGATTATATTATTGTTATCGTTCGGGTCCGGATATAGACTACGTGCATTACCTAACTCATATTTTTTAAACGCATAAAACGTTTCTAAGAGGAAATAAAAGTGTCAAGTTCTGCGCTGTTGCTTTATGTTAAAGAAAATAAGAGTACCAGAGTGTGTACTCGAGGCTTACTATTACTAATGTTTTTTTGTTGTACTTTTATTGTTTGGAAAAATATGGTCGGCTGTAAAATTTGTCAAAGCTGAACTTTCTGCACGTTGGATCAGAATGACATAAAAAAAAAAAAAATTATGCGATGAAAATAGAATCTATCGCGTGTCATGACCGGTCACGCATATTATTAAATATAATATAATGTTTAATTTTTTATATTTATACTCGAAACACTTGTGATTTATTTCCACTGGCAATGCGATGAGATTACATAACGAACAATGGCCGTTATTGCGCGTTGTGTCGTTAAATAAATTAGATAATAATATTATCCAGAGCGGGCGGTGCTTCCAAACGCAAATTATTATGCTCTGCCTTTTTTCGTTATGATTTTTCATTTTTCAAATTTGTTTCACTTAATAAAATTAGTAACGTTGTTATAATAAGACCCACCGCGTTGGCGCCCAACCAGGAAACGACAAGACGTTATCAGCTTTTATGCCAATCTCTTATGCTATATTTACTAATCGTACAATATGTATTTGACTTAACGGCAAAGGTAAACTAACTGTAAAAGCGAAAACGACGGTATAGTAGAAGGAATAATTAGCCAAAAATCGGTTTTTTAAATTTCCTTCTTCTTGTTCTTCCTAACCCAACCTAACCTAACCTAACCAAACCTATCCAAACCTAACCAAACCTAACCAAACCTAACCAAACCTTACCAAACCTAACCAACCCTAACCCAACCCAACCTAACCTAACCCAATTCAACCCAACATACTCAACCTAACCAAACCCAACCTTTTTTTAAAAAAAATGTTTAACATACTGCATCGAGGACTAGGGGTGGTACTGCACATTTGGGCATTTAACCCTAACCTAACCATAGAAGTGGTAGGACGGCCACTGTAATACTCTTAATCTTTGTTTATAGAATCCAAATAAATAATATGTTTGGCCTACCATTTAATATTTTTAATCACTCTTGTCTGTTTTACTAGTTCAATATATATATTGTTTCTCATCACGAACAAACCATCTGACATCTCTCTACCACTACTTTCCATTTTGTTCTGCTACAAAAGACGACTGCACATTTCGGCTTCTTCCTCTTGACTCTCTTCTTCAAACGGTCAACGTAAAATTAGCTAAGACACGAATCTTACGATTATGCAGCCGTGAGCAACTCTGCGTTAGCAATACGCATGACCGACCGACATAAATAAAAATCAGCTTTATATATATATATTCACTAGTATAATGGAGTTGTACAGTATAAACGCTTTCAACTGTCCCTTTGGAGACCTAACCGGTGAAGACGGTCGGCTAACATGACGGCGGCAATCGTCCCGGGACAGTAAGCCGGTCTCTGTTTATTATCAACATCCGGAAAAGTGTAGCGAGATATGTGTGATTGCATTAGACACGGTTCTTTTGTCGTCTGTCCGACTAACTCATGCCGGTGCACAACACTGTGTCGCCAAAGGTCCTCCTGGAAAAGCAGCATTGCCGGCGGCCGAGCAAATTGAATTCTGACGTGTTTGCCGAACGTAACTTCTTTTACTTCCCGACTTAAATGACACGGGGTAGTGAAGACGGGCCAAAAGAACTTTTGAAGTGGCTTCCTCGCGTGACAGCTATTCCTTTGCTATATTAGACGTTTCCCCCCCCCCCTTCACCTCTTCCTCTCGATTATCCATTGGCCATTTGGTTTGTCGCGGGGGAAAAAAATACCATTTTTTTTTTCCACGGGTCTTTGCCATCCCGAGCCGACCCACTTTCTCGTGGAGAATTAAGACGGTTTTTTTTAAAAAGAAAACAATAAGTAATAATAATAAAAGCGAGGAAATTCGTTGCGCCATCACACATACGGGTTTTTCGTTTAGCCGTTTATTATTATTATTTTTATTTTTCTTAGGTAAAATATGTCTCGACAAGCCGGGAAATTGTTTAGTATCCAATTACGGGCGGAGGTTATTAAGATGATGACGTCGTACCACGGTATTTATTAAGAAATTAGGTATAGGCAAAATCTTTATTTAAAACGTTCAACTGTGATAGGACTCTTTGTTTGGTAGCTACATTTTTTTTGGACATCACATCACCTTTGGCGACGATTTAAAATTTCTTATTAATTTAAACATGTTGGCAAAAACCGGAAAAAGGACCCTCCAGGCACAAGACAAGATTTCTGAAGGAATGTCAGATGCGTTTTGCTTTACCTACAATGCATATAGGCCATTAAGATGATGCAAACATGATTTTACCACTGGAAAATCATCGACCAGACGTCTTGTTCTTAAGCTATTTTTCACTAACTGCAAAAGTGAATAATTAGCCAAAAACCTGTTTTTGAAATTTCACCCAGAAATTTCTTTCCACTTGGTCTTCTTAACCTAACCTAACCAAACCTATCATTTTTTTTATTGTTTCTTCATCGTCGACCACCCCGTACTAAGCCTTAGGCAATACTTAGGGTGGTCGCCATCGTTTTGCTGTATGCCAATTTACAACGTATTTCGGTCCGTAGGAAGGCCATACACTTCCTACTCGCCTATACTAAACAAAAAATTACATTTTCTTAGCAACAAATTACACCTAACCTAACCTAACCAAACCGTACCAAACCTAACCAAACCTAACCTAACCTAACCTTACCTAACCAAACCCAACCAAACCTAACCCAAGCAGACGCTTCTTCTTAAGTTCCTTTTTTTCCCCTAATGTAAAATATATCTCGACAGCTTGTCGGTTGGGATACGGTCCAGGTTTGGACGCCTACACTTGTCACACAGAGGGTAGTGTACACGTGGGATTTTCCCGGTGGCTGTTCCCGATAACGGCAATCGCTAACTTGTGCAACACTCGACTTACCTCCACAAGCTTGGGGCGGCAACGGGAATATCAGCGTGGTGGAGCTCTTCCTTCTGGCCACGGCACAGCCCAACGATTGCGGTTTGAAACTGCGCAACTGCTGCATGAAATCCGAGCACTCCATCAACGCCACGTCGGCAAAGTGAAGATCACAGAGTATGTGATTTTTGAACCTCCTGGCCCGTTTCTGGTTGGGGCCGGTCAGGTTCATTCCGCACGAGTTGCACCGTAAACATTCTTCGTGGTAATGCTTGTTGTCGTACAACAAGGAAGTTTCTGTACAAAAAAAAAACAAAAAAAACAAATACATTATACAGCACATCGAATCTCATTAGCAGCGACAAAGTGTGTTTGCAATGGTATTACGGAGCCCCGAGAAGAAAAACCCAGGGAAATTCGTTTTGCCCTCCGACGAAGCGCACGATATCAAATTCTCGCATTGTCTACACGCTAATGGACTTTTCGTCGAGGGGATTACATACACATATGGATCCAATAATAAAATAATTATATTTCTGTGGAGATCGTATTGCGTCAATGACAAAATGGATGTTGGCGAAAAAGATAAACGATCTCTTTTTATTGAAATAGAATAAAATACTCTTATTTTAATAAAAAAAAAAATAATATATATATATATATATATTGTTATACAATAATCGTTTGTTCTTAGAAATCAAATAGGTACAAAGCACAATTCCTGGGGTTTTCATCGCGAGAAATGTTTTCATTCGTTTTAATTGATATTTCGAAACTGCATTGTGTATTATTATGTTCTATTATGTTTTTTGTATGTGCTTCCAATAATACAATCGCCGTAGTGATTACTCGCTAAGTACTCTATTCATTAGACTTTATCGGTTCGGAGAACTCGTCGAGTTTCTTGTGTTGTATTATTATTCGTACTTAGTCGTATTGAACATTTTAATTGTACACATAAAAAATATATAGGTGCACGAAGCACGGTCGCGTCGAGGAGTTTTATTCAAATCCAACAGAGCATATTGACTATTTAACTACAATACCATTAGACAATATTTTAATTATACTATTTCCTGTGAAATATAAACCGACTTGACAGTCGCCAGTTTTCATAAACCACCTATATTATTAGGTAGTCAAACTTAATAATTACTCAATTTATATTATATTTACTATAACCTAGCCTAACCTACTATCGCTGGTTATGTGGGTCGTGTATTAGGTGCAACACAATTATATTATATTGTGATATAATTCTATAAGCTTTTAAAAAGTTATTACAAAACAAAAACGTTGTCATCGTTAACTATTCGCTGCATGTAAGTGCATATATGCATTAGGTTATTTATACTGATATCATTTATCGATTATGGTTAATATTTATTTTGGCAACTATATAATAGTGTTTTTAACGGTTTTGACATGTCATATTACTGCTATACATGATCAATACGTCCATGTTTTGTGTGCATGATTTAATTTACAAACAAAGGTAAGTACACGTGCGCAGTATTATACTTGTAATACACATACCTATGTATGTGCTGATATTTTCCTTTATTATTATTATTATTATTATATTTGAGTTATGGATGTGCTTTTTTTTTTTGAATATTCTAAAAAAAGTACCCGACATTAGGGTTGGTTTTGAGTTTTGTGAAAGTTAGGACGGAGGGGGGGGGGTGGTGATTAAACTTCCGGTCCGTATCCATCAAAAAGCCGCCTGCCATTGTCTGTCGTTGCCGCCAACCTAACCGATACATATCATTAGGATAGTAATTGTCTTGTGTCGATCATGAAAACTGTTCAGGAAAAACGCAACGTTGCTGTCGAGCCCGCACGTTAGTTGCCGCCGTGTGAACGTTTCCCATCACGAACAAAACGTCCAAGTAGTCCAAGTTGTTTTAAACCTACCGAGAAACTACCGAATTGCTTTGGATTGAAACGGAACAAACACAACAGTGCAGACAACGATGATAATTACAGCAATATTTGGAGGGGGAAAAAAAGGCATGAAAAGATGTGCCCGCCCATGCAAAAACACGTGAACCGTCCAAGTCTTGGGGTCGAGATAATATTACGTAAGAAGAAGGAAAAACAACACAATGATAATATTATGATTGGCCACGGTTTTCCCGTTTAGGTTGTTTGGGTTGGACTAGGGCGAAATTCAAAACACAATTATAGGAAATACATTTAAAGGAGTTATGAATAATTAATGCAAAATGTTTTTATACATTTTTTTTAGTACACATTTTCCCACGTCATATCAACACTAGGAAGATTTATTATTGTACACAATTTTGATGTATATTGTTTTTATAGTTTTAAAATGTATACAGTGAAATTTGTCAACAAAAAAAATGTAACCCGTTTCGAGATTTTAACCCTTATAATCCTTTATACCTCATTCCAATGCAAAACGAACATCAGTAGTGTGTGTTCAACGTGGATCCTATGAAATCACACAAAAGCCACATTGGTACACAAGAGTATGAATAATTATCATTACAAGGTGTGGTAGGTGGACGATAAGGCGTTTCCATAATATTATATTATGTAACCTAACCGAAAGAACGCTTAATGGCATATAGTAAAACAGGTAATCAACTGAAGCCACCTTCGACCCTTTTAAACCGGTGCATCCGAATGCAAACAGGATGGCAACGAGGACAAATTGTATCCACCCTTAACTATATTATATATACAATTTACTTTGTATATGTGGGCTTCTGCGGCTTTGATGCAGATGCAATGGTGGCATCATAAGGAAATTCATAGAGACAAGCATTTCAGTACATATCGTTCATAGGGTAATTCTAATAATTCTCAACACAAGAGACAAAATTTGAGAAGTTCAAAACCACAGTTAAAACAAAATGAAAACCCCCAACTCTTACTTAAATATGGAATAGGTGATTATTTTTGTAATACGGCGATCAGTATAGGCTATTCAGCTACACACAAGTGTACATTACAATAGTAGTTAAAAAATAATAATTGTAGTGCTTGAAACTCAAGTCCTAAACTATAATAAATATTATAACTGAAATAGAAATTTTAATGTGCTACTCGAAATCTATTGAAACCGCTTGTTTGTGTTTTTCTACAAAATAAACTGGCCATAGAAATATGACGTTCTCCTTAATAGGAATATTCTTTTTGAAAAGCGCCAAGTTGGCTTTTTTAATTTTACTTTTTTCCCCCACTAGATTTGTTAATGTATATTTTTTTTTTGTGTAGAAACTTTTTGAAGAACTGTTGCAGACCATCATTTCAGTTTTTAGCTTAGAAATACATTTCCAAAAAATAAATAAAAGTTCCCTGGTTTAGATTTTAGACTGGTAAAAAAAAAAATGTATATATAAAATAATTTAAAAAAATTTAACAGACAAGTCTGTGGTGTTTGATCAAAATGAGACAAGTTTAAATTGTATGTATTTTCTTTTGTCTAAGCTAAACTGTAGTTCAGGCATAGCTGTATTGTAGTTTGATTTCATAAAATTGCACCAACCCCGTTAGGCTAGGTAAGGGCTGCGGGCTGTCGTCGGCACACTATAAATCATTTGCGGTTTGCGATTAAATTATTAGTGTTTAATGCGTTTGTGTTATTATATTATTATATACAATACAACAAGTCCGGCGCCTTAGATCGCCACCATTAGTCAGTCTCGGCTTTGTGCAACGACGACCACCCGGTCGAATATAGTCTATTATTAATGGCCAGCCGAACTTTTGATTCTAAGTACGGTTTGCCGACCTGGATTTCTGTACGGAAAGTACTATATAGGGTCGTACGAACAACTATTTATGTATACATATATATATATATATATGCAATGAGCCAACTGCTCCTCTGGGAAATGACAGCAAAAAGCTTATCGACAATCTCATTCCGGGGACAATGCTCTCTAACACAATACTGAACAACAAAGTGTACCTTATATAATAAGCGTTATACGTTAATGCTGGCTGTGTGCCGTTGATCGAATGGAAATGACTAAACATTTTAGTTTAGCCAAAAAAATAAGCCCAGAATGTAAAAAAGCTGGTTAGTACACATTTATAATGTGTTGGATGTTGCAGTCGCCGGATGTGTCCGTTATCTTTTGTTATTTTTGGACATTTATCTCTTGCTTAATTTTAATATTATGTTAAACAGAAGAAATACACATTAAAACGACCAATGACTGTGACATTCAATTTAATTATGAACCTACTTTTTTATTTTTGCAGTCTTTTTTTTTTAAGCTATACAACCTCATAATATAGTAGAGGTTTTAACTCGAGTTTGATAATGAGTGATTTTTGCAGTTCTAAGTCCTATTCTTATTAATATTCTTATTTCTATATGGATATATTGTTATTGGGCTGGATACAAGAAATTTCATGTCGCCATTGTCATCTCGCCCTTTTCGCTATACACTTTCACTTAGAGATATGAGATAAGGGTTAAGAGATAAGATATAAGAGCTAAGTGATAAGAGATAACTAATGAGATACAAGTGATAAGAGATAACTAATGAGATACAAGTGATAAGAGATAACTAATGAGATACAAGTGATAAGAGATAACTGAGAGATTTTGTTCGGGATCTTTTTAGTTTTTATTTGAACAAAAGAGATCGAATGGTTTAGATAGGATTTGATAATAACAGGCCATATATACATACACAAACTAACTACATACATTACACCTAAAAACACATAGCCGTCCTATTCTTTGCGCGGTCAAGTGAAAATGTTGTCACACAAATTAACAAAAAGCCTGTGAGTACTTTGCTGAAGCTCTCCGGGAAGCGCCTTGGGTGGTACATGCCAAGGTGCTGTGCGCTAATAGCTATATAATAATAACAGTATTCGGAATCCATCGCAATAATCACCCAAGATTTTTTATACATTGGTTAAAAAACCTTGGACGACGCCACAGTAATAATATGCGATCCAACCAATCCGGGCAACGTTAATTCGTAATAAAAACACCGTCAAGCACCGCTTTTACGACGATAATAACATGATCCGATATCTTTATCAGCGACGTTGTTTACCAAAGTAGATTGATATTGTTGGCCTTTAGTAGCAGTTCTACACGATAAAACTTTTAAACGCGCATAAAATCGCGGGTCGGTTAAATTAATGGTGGTCGTAAACCACATTTATATAATATAATATATACAGATGAAATGCACACTCCCGAACAATCGTGATTTCATTGTAATTAACGTTTAAGAAATATTTTTATTGCGTATCTCTTCTTTTTAACCCAATTCCACTGGCACGAATTTATCAGCAAA